GAAGGCTCACCTCCAGAAAGTTCAAGGTTCCCATCCCTCCCCGACTGCGACGGCGACGACATACCCCCGCCTCCACCCGATATTGGACCAGGGGGAGCAGGGGCAGGCAGATCCTCGCCAGCACGATGCGACGACCAATCACACGACCACTGGGCTCAGAGGAGTCTGCCTGCAACCGAGCTCGAACCCTCCGATGGTCTCTGGGAGGCGAAGCCGACCGCTCCCGCGACTGGCTAGCAGGGGCCTCACACACGTTAGGTGGAGACAAAACTTCGAACGGCTCGCGTGAGCCTGCTGAAGCAATTAAGCGCTCACGCAACGCTATCTTCGCAGGGCATTGGCGACGCGCGAATATCTGACGCTGCTTGGAGGCGGCAACATACTTCGCACACGACGGACATCGCCAGCCTTTGCCTGACGGATAAAACTTATGAAACATATTAGCGTCATCAGTTTTTCGGGCTTTAGCCTTAGCTCTAGCACGACGACGCTCCCGAAAACGAATTTCTCCTGGGGCAACCGTGTCCTCCATAAATTTAGTGTGGGCCTTGGCAAGCCATATTAGGCCTTTCCTCGCCGAACGAAACAGCAACTCGACCCGCTTAGCTACTTCATTGGTTACGGCATGCATGCCACGGCCCTCACAGGCCGCGAAGTCGGCCCATCTGTTCCCCCGAGCTTCGTATCCCTGACCTTTCTGATGTCCTGGCACGTGCACTATTTGGAGAGAGTCAGAAAGGCCTCCAAGATCATCAATACGTCGCCAAATCTCACACCACAAATCTGCATTAGGACGCCGAGGATGACAACCCCAAGCAGGCCCTCTCTCAAGGCCTTGCGGTAACTCAAGATAATCAGTGAGTATCCTGAGCGGGAGAATAGCAACGCGTAGTATCTGAGCAACTGCATATAACTCCGCACGCGGCGATGTCTGTATCGGCCCTGGCAGCGGTCCGTACACCACGAGGTCAATCATGTTGGGCCGAATCTGCGCAAAACCCCAGCCAGCACGTGCAGCCTCTGGCCAGTAGAAATACTTTCGGCAGGCCCCATCAGAAAATACATCGCCTGTCACGGCGCTGGCATCTCCGTATAGAACTCGCCAAACTGCGCTATCATCACGTGGAGGTGGTGATGACAATGCTGTCTTGGCGAGCAAACCTCTAGCCCAGAACCATGAGGAAGGAGAGACTTCGGGAAGACACCCCTGCTCATCAGCGTCGCCAAACACATGTCTGCGCCCTTCTTCATTGGAATCGCAAACCCATGGAATATGGAAAAGATCAGCATGCGGCGCTGAGCAGCACGGGCATATCGCATTGTCGGCGTAGCCGTGCTTCGCCCGTCGTGAGGGTGGCCAAAGTTCCCCAGTCACCACTGCACGTAGCGTCGCTGCCTGCTGCTTCGTTAGAACGTAAGGTTTTTCTCGATCCTCTTCCTCCAGCGTCCTGCCCAAGACACACAATTGGTGCCAGCCAGTATCCCGCCGAAGACTTCGGATCTAAGTCGGTGCCGTGATCGCGATCTGGGCGGCGTGCCCAATCAAGCCAAAGCCGCCGTTCAGCAGCTTCTCGGGCCAAATCGCGTACGGATAATGGTGAACCCGTGCGAAGATCGAGTTTGTCACCACGATCGGTTTGCCATTCGAAAGCGGACCGAGACACCCATCCCAAGGCACGAATAGCTAATAACATGGCCCCGCAAGGCCCTGCCACATGCCCCCACGGTTTAGCTTCACGGTAGATAATCCCAATCTGCCGAGCCCAGGCCCTCTGGAGCACGCCGTGTAATGAGCCGTCCCAGCAAAGAAGTGCCCACTGAAATATGGGATCTGACCAAGCCGAGACTTGAGGGTCCTGAGTGCCACTGCCCTGGAGAAACGTAAACAACCAAGCCGAGCCATGTTTCCCAGGCTCGTACCATGCGCCCCTGAGGGCACGACGCATAGCATGTACTAGAGATGGCGGAGCACCGTGAACTCCAACTCCATAGGTTAGAGCGGCTGGAATCGCCTGCTTGGCAAACTTACCCAAGAGAGGACCTGCCTTTCGCAATCGCCGAAATCGAGCTTGACGGACTCTCATCTTCCCGATCCGAGTCTTGAGACGACCATAACGAATCGACCTCCCAGAAGCAACCTCCACTCCCAGGACCTCGAGCGCGTCAACGACCCGATAACCTAGCACGCCGATGCGACGACAAACCTGCCTGGCGACCTCCAGGTTTGAGCTGGTGACTGTCATTTTCCTCTTAGCGGCTCAAAGCTCGATGCCCTCTAGAGTAGAAGCTAGCTCCGATAACACGTCGCTCGCATGCTCGACAATGTGCCTGACCGTGGATACGACCCGGACAGTGATGCCATCCGCATATAAGTGCAGCGACCGATTCACATGACTAGTGACGGACAGCAAGGAATCGATGGGGGTGAGGAGGACAAGTTGCAGGATGAACATGGCCAGGCTGCAACCTGGCAGGATACCTCGCGACGCCCACACGGGGTCAGAGTACGCACCTTCCCACCCAAGCCTGCGGCTCGCTCCATACATCTGCAAAGCGAGACATAACAGCGTGCCAGGGAAACCATGTCGCATACCCGCATCAACGATCAAATGCCAACCGATTCGATCGAAAGCCTTTTCCACATCAACTATTGAATGGAGGACCGCTTCGTCATCTGGCTGAGTTGGAGACTTGCGCTGACTTTCCCCTTGCAATAAGACACGCGCGGCCACGTCGGTCGTACATCTCCCTGATCCCAGAGCGATATAATCTCTCCCAAGAGACGAAGCCCACTGACGAACGTAGCCGGTGCGAGCCTTGGCCCAAACGCGGTACAGCGAGACGAGTAACGCGATGGGGAGGAGGAGGAGGAGGAGGAGGAGGAAGTAGGATGAGGAGGAGGAGGAGGAGGAGGAGGAGGAGGGGGAGTATGGGGAGGGGGAGGAGGAGGAGGAGGAGGAAGATGAGAGGAGGAGGAGGAGGAGAGAGGAAGGAGGAGGAGGAAACGGTGGAGGAAAGGAACACGGAGGAGAGGAGGAGGAGGAGGAGGAGGAATGACAACGAAGACGGGCAGAAGGTGGAGGAGGTGGATCTGCGAGCAGAAAGAGGAGGATGAGTAGGGTAGTAGGGTGACCGCACACTCGGTCGACAGACATCTTCTGCTTTCTCGCGACTAAGCTCGGGGGTGGACAGACCTCCTACCCTGACGCGTCGATTAGCGAATTGGCCGTTTTCGCCCACCGCAGATAAGCAGTCGCGGAGGCGTGGCTGCTCCCATGGGGAGTTGTGGTTCCATCGGCACGCAGCTGTGGCGTTGTGTCGCCAGGCAGATGCAGGCGTGCTGGCCTCACCAGGAGGAAGGCGCCATCTCGGCTTAAGTCGGGCGTGTCCCGCCGAATCGGACCGGATACGCTCCAGGCGGAATTCGCATCGTTCGCCAGCGGGTTATCCTCCTCTTCATCCTCCTCCTCCTCCTCTTCTTTCTGCTTCTCCTCCTCCTCCTTCTCCTCCTCCTCCTCCTCTTTGCCGTTCTTTCGCAGACAGGCGTCTTGCCTCCGAGCGCTTGTGACGCTCTCGCCCCCTCTCGTGTCTGGGCTTGGGGCTTTCTGCCCGCAGGCGCGGGAGTCCCCACACGGGAGGCCCTGACAACCTGGGCGGTGAGGTCTTCGGTGTGTAATCTGAGGGGCACCCTGCCGCCATCCCCACCGACCCGTGGGAGCAAAGATGGTCGGGGGTGGACAGAACCCCCAACAGTGACACGCCGATTAGTGAATTGTCCTTGTTCGGTTCTCGAGAGGGCGCCGTGGCCGTTATTTTCCAGGTTTGCGCCCGCCAGGTTTGGGCCTCAGGTCGTTTTCACTAAACCGCGTTTTACTAAAGGGGGGTCTGTCCACCCCCGAGATGGGTGCCCCCCACCCGTGGGAGCAAAGATGGGGGCCCCCCAGCCGTGGGAGCAAAGATGGGTGCCCCCCAGCAGTTTTTGTCGAGGCGCTTTGTGCCCTCCTGCCAGGAGGCTGTTTTTTTAGGGTCCCGCGATCACCCGGGTTATCGGGCTTGCCCCCCCTCCCCCCCTTCCCCCAGGATAACCTAACCTTGCCGGTTGTGCAGGTCTGCGGGAGGGGCTGCGCGCGCATATGCAGGGCTGCCCACAGCGCGAGGGTTAGGTTATCGGCCGGCCCCCTCCTCCCCCCCCCCTCCGGGATATCCCGGGTTATCGCCGATTCAAAAAAACGGTTTCCAGGAGAAGGAACAAAAGGGGTGAAGGAGGGCGAGGGCTGACAACGAGGGGTTGAGTGGGAGGAAGATCGGTGGGAACAGGAGGGGACGAATAGGGAGGGAGGACCCATGAGGAAGGAGGGATGATGGCATGATGGTGATGATGTTGTTGTTGATGGTGGCGGTGATCATGATTACGTGGATGGTGACGAAGTTGCTGTTGACGATACCTGTGATACTATTGATCATGACACTCATGATGATGATGAGGAGGAGTAGGATGAGGAGGAGGATGCTGATGATAATGGTGATGATGTTGATGCCGACGATGATGATGATGATGATGTTGATGATGCTGATTATGATGATGAGGGGAATATGAGGATGATGGTGATGCTGATGATGATGACGATGCTGCTGCTGCTGAAAATGATGCTGATGATGATGATGATGATGATGATGATGATGATGATGATGATGATGATGATGAGGATGACGATGATGATGATGATGATGATGATGATGATGATGATGATGATGATGATGATGGTGATTATGACGATGGTGATTGTGATGGTGATGGTGATGGTGATAGCGAGTGGATGGATGCTGGTGATGAGGATGAGGAACATGAGTATGATGATGTTGATGCTGATACTGTCGAGGATGCTGAGGAGCAGGAGAAGGAGGGGAAGGAGGAGACGGGAGGAGGAACAGGGGGAGGGAACAAGGGGAGGAGGGAGAAGGAGGAGGGGGAGGAGGGAGCGGGATGGACGTCTAAGGAGATGATGCAGTCCGTGCAGATGCTGCACACTTTCATCACCGAGATGGAGGGCGCGTACTTCGGCTACATCGAGGCCACGGCGAAATGCCTGCTGCCCCACCTCGAGCCCAGCAACGACGACATCTCCGCCCTGTGCGAGGAGGTCAGGGGGACCGCGCTGCAGTGCTGGGGCCCGCGAGGGATGAAACATCTTGGCATCGCCTCCCTCCCGCCGTCCCTTCCTCCTGCCATCCTGCCTGCCTGCCTGGTTCTCCTCCTCCTCCTCCTCCACCCACCTCCTCCTCCTCTCCTCCTCCTCCCTCCTCCCTCCTCCTCCGCCTCCCCCTCCTCCTCCTCCTCGTCTCCTCCCCCTCCCCCTCCCCCTCCCCCTCCTCCTCCTCCTCCTCCTCCTCCTCCTCCCCTCCTCCTCCTCCTCGTCCCCTCCCCCTCCCCTCTCCTCTCTCCCTCCTCCTCCTCCTCCTCCTCCGCCTCCTCCTCCTCCTGATCTCCTCCTCCTCCTCCTCCTCCTCCTCCTCCCTCCTCCTCCTCCTCCCCCCTCCTCCTCCTCCTCTCCTCCTCCTCCTCCCCCCCCTCCTCCTCCTCCTCCTCCTCCCTCCCCTCCTCCTCCTCCCCTCCTCCTCCTCCTCCTCCTCCTCCTCCTCCTCCTCCTCCGCCTCCTCCTCCTCCTCCTCCTCCTCCTCCTCCTCCTCCTCCCTCCTCCTACCTCCTCCTCCTCCTCCTCCTCCTCCTCCTTCCTCCCCTCCTCCTCCTCCTCCTCCTCCCCTCCCGACGTTTTCGCCTTCCCCTCTCCCCAGGCCTCCTCATCAAGTCGGCCCGCAAGAGCGCGGAGGAGCAGGGGCAGCCGAGCTCCCCCCTGGCCGCGGAGCTGCTCCGCAAGGGCCTGCAGGCGACGTTCCAGGCCCGCCGGGGGGCGGGCGGGAAGCCCGCCCGCAGTCGGAGGGTACCAACTATACACCAACACCGATCCCGGCCAGGCCAATCCTGGGCCCAGGATCGGTGTACATGCCTTCGTGCCCCAGGCAGGAGGGCGTACACACCGATCCTGGGCCCAGGGTGATCCTGGCCGGGATCGGTGTTGGTGTATAGTTGGTGCCCTCCTACGCAGGGCAGGCGCACCCTTCGAAAGCTGGGCGAGGGCTGCTAAAACCGTGGCTGCTAACACGGCCCTCCCGGAAGGAGAAGGCAGCTTCCCGGAATGGGGCGCGGCACGCGAAACCGTCAACGGGCTTCTTCCCGGAAGGACGAGGGCAACTTCCCGGAGGTCGATCTTAGCAGCCACGGATGTAGCAGCCCTTGCCCGGCTTCCGATCCTTGCCCGGACGGGCTCGCGCCGCGAGAGCACCGCGGTTGAAGGTTTTTTTAGGCAGCGCTCGGCCTGATGGGGGCCCTCGCCGGGCCCCGGGGGCCGTCAAAGAACGATTCTCAGAGCGTGAATTTCGACCCCGCTTTCGCCTCCAGGCAAAACCAGGTCATACCACGCGCCGCCTCGTCAAGCGGCCTGACCAGTGCAGGCAGCAGTATGGCATCGCTGGGTACCTCTTGGAAGCGAGGGTGGTCAAGAGCGAGGCGTGTCTGCTTGCCCCCAGTGGCTCGGGCTTCAAGACACGGCTCCGGGGAATGGGTCGGGACTTCAGGGGGGCCCCCTGCTGGAGCAGCCGAGGCGTTGGCTGTCCGTGTGCGCCTCCCCGGGGCCCTCGCGAGGGGTTTTGGCGGCGCTTCCCCCAGGCTTTGCGGACGGGTGCAGGGCCGGACAGATCGGAGCCACTCCTCTGGACGCCCGAGATGGGCACGTTCGATACTCGTTTCGGGGACCTTCCTGGAGCCCATCTAACGGATCTGTTCGACCCAAGTTCGACTCAAGTTCGACTCAAGTCGACTCAGGTTCGACTCAGGTTCGACTCAGCTTCGACTCAGGGTCGACCCAAATCGACTGACGTCCGACGCAGCTTCGACGCACGAGTGGAGCGAGTGGCTCCAGGAAGGTCCCCAGAACGAGCATCCAAGGCACGGAAAGAGTGGGTACAATGCTCGCAGGCCTAGAGGTTGACACCAACACCAATATCGGCGGTGTACCTCCACCGAGGGAAGAAGACTCCGATCTCGGTGATGGTGGCAATGTTCTGGCTTCCAAGGTGACCGACACATGACCCCCAACACCGAAGTCTTGGACCGTCCTCCCCCTGTGGAGGCAACCCCTTGTGTTGGTGTTGGTGCCCATTTCCAGGCCTCCAAAATGCCCAACAGCAGTTCCTGTCCTTTCTGAACAGGGCTCGCTGTCCGCGCCGCCGCGGCCCGTGTCCACTCGAGACAGAAGGCCGCCTGCCCAACAACGGCCGCTGTTGGTTTGGGACAGCTTTTGTTGTTGTGGGCATTGTACCCATTTTTTCCGTACTCATGTCGGGCGTCCAAATATTCGGCGCAGTCCGATGCGATCAGAGATTTCGGGGGGGACCTCGCCAAGCAGCGAGCAACGAAAGTGCTCGTCAGAGCACGATGCATCTCAGTCAGATGCTCGGCATTACTGAGTACGAGCAATGCCAGCACTAGCAGCTGTTGGGACATCCGGGCGAGTTTTGTATGAGTCGCGGAAGATCCAAGCTCGAGTCGAGCGACGGCATTATTCGTCAAGCCATCAGAGACCGGGAAAGGAAAACATGATACCGGCCAGCGCAGATTTCCAATATATTGTAAGGCTGAAATGAAGTGGGCTGGAGTGGGCTGAAGCAGACTGGACTGGACTGGGTTGGACTTTATTCTACTCCACTCAGCTCTGCTTGTTCCTCTCCTTTCCTCTGCTCCGCTCGATTCCAATCTGCTCTACTCCAATCAGCTCTGCTCTTTATCTTTACCGTTACGCTCCAGCTCTGCCGCCATGTTTGGGATCTCACCCTGCCCGTAAACAAGCAAAACACAACCAATGTTTTACAGTGGGGGCGCGCATCAAGAAACCATATGCTTTTCGCCGGGGTATCCTGGGTTTCTTCGCTCCTCGCGCTGCGCGGCGACTTCCCGCAGCCGTTGAAGGAGCTACTGCGCTTTTAGGGTGCTCCAGGCTTCCCTTCGGGTGCACCTCGCGCACGGGTTCTCAGGGTGGGGTCTCCTGCGAGGGCTTCTTGCGGCCGCGCCCGCGCCGCGCCCGCACGGGTTCTCTCAGGAGGAAAAGAAACACACAGACACAATTAATCGTCGATTCCCCAGAAAATATAGGAAAATATGGGAAGTGGGGGGAAGACAGAAACCCAGAACATATGGGAACATATGGGGAACATGTTTATTTGTGTGTATTTATTTGTGTGTCCTGGGGCCCCTTCATTCTCAGGGTCGGGTTCCAATGCCAGTCGACTCTGCTCCAATCACCTCTGCTCTCTTTTGCTCTACCCTTACGCCCCAGCTCTGCCGCACCGTTGGGGATCCCACCCTGCCAGAACGCCAGCAGAACACACAACCAGTGTCTCATTGGAGAGGCCTGACGGCCGGTGCCGCCGACCCTGATCGGAAGGGCTAGGAGCGGGGGGAGGAAGCGGCGGAGGAGGAGGAGGAGGAGGAGGAGGAGGAGGAGGAGGAGGAGAACACAACCAATGTCTTATTCGTCTCAAAACGTGGGCGTTCCGCGTCGCCCGTGCCGCAGGCTGCGCGTCGCCAGAGAGCAGGGCGCGGCGCGGCTCCCCTCGCGGAAGCGAGGCCGGCACGGCGCCGCTCTCTCGCCACGGCGCCGCGCTCCCCCTCCGAGGGCCTCCTGGAGCTTCGGGTAGGGGGCCACATGCGAACCCTACCCCTGCCCCCCACGGTTTCTGAGGGGGAGGGTGGGGTTCACTTCGCTCGGGAGCTCCCGAGCGAGGTGAACCCCACCCTCCCCTCAGAAATCGTGGGGGGTAGGGGTAGGGTTCGCATGTGGCCCCCTGTCGGGGGTGGACAGGCCTCCGGCCCTGACACGCCGAGCAAGGAACTGGCCGTCTTGGGGCTCGCGGGGGGGGGGGGGGGGCGTCGCGGCCGGCCTTCTTGCGGGTCCGGCGGGGGTCCGTCGGGTCCAGTCCCGGGCCGTTTTTTATTTGAGGGGAGGTTTGCCAAAGGCAGCTTTGTCCACCGCCGAGGGCTCCCGCTCTCGGGCGCGGCGCTCCCCTGCTTCGCACGCCCTTCGATCGACGCGGGGGAAGGCGAACACGTCGCTCTCGCTTCGGTGTCGGACAGAGCTCGCCCGAACGTGGCGTGCCCGCCTCGCCGCGGGGCGCCCTTGTCGCTCGCGGGCTTTTGGGAGCCCGCGCGAGTGGGTGATGTGCTGCCCCCGCCCAAGTTCTGTGCGCATCTGGGTCGGAAGCGTCGCTGCCGCGCGGCCGTGGTGTGTGTGTGTGTGGCTCGTCCGCCGAAGCGCACGGGAGCGAGCTCAGCGGCAGCGGGGCCGCGCGAGATTGGGAGCGAGAGTGGCGCTGCTGCGTCAGCGCGGCGCCTGCTTCGCCTTCGCCGCGCCGCTGGGAAGCGTGGCCTCCCCCCCGCCCCGCGCGCGGCCCGCGCAGCTGTCCCCTCGCCAAGTCGTCGGCAACGGGGCCCCGGGCCGCGCGCGAGCGCCGTGTGTCGTTGCCCAGTGTGCCGCAGCTCCGACTCGCTCGGCCTGGCCGAGTTGGCTCCAGTTCCGATATCCTTGCCTCAGGAGGAAAAGAAGCACACAGACACAATGAATCCTCGATTCCCCGGAAAACATGGGAAAATATGGGAAGTGGGGGGGAAGACAGAAACCCAGAAAATATGGGGACATATGGGGAATCTTTTTATTTGTGTGTCCTGGGGCCCCTTCATTACCACTGGCCCTTGGCACATCTAGCTGCCGTGCCCCAGTGGTGGGTATGAAGCCTACCGGATGCTCGCTGGGATCTCGTGGGAGGCCCCATCGGGGGTCTCCTGGAAGCAGTCTGGAGGCCTCTGGGGAGCCGTTGTGCCCCTTTGGGGCCTCTTTTGGGTGCATGTTGGGACCTCTGGGGGGCCTCTTGGGGGCCTCTTGGGGCCTCCTGGGCGCCTCCTGGGGGCCTCCTGGGGGCCTCTTGGGGCGTCTCGGATTTTCGGCTCGTGTTCCCTCTCTTGGGCCCCTTATGATGTGTCCGTCCTTGGGGCCCTCTTGGGCTGTCTTGGGCGGCTCTTGGGTAGTCTTCGGCAGCTCTTAGGCCGTCTTGCGGCCCTCTTGGAGGCCTCTTGGGCCGTTTTGGGGTGGTCTTGAGGGCCTCTTGGGCCGTCTTGGAGCGTCGGAAAGCCGAAAAGGCGAGAACGCCAACATGCTTCAAAAACGAACGGATAGCCCTTGGGGGCCTGGCGGGGCGTCCTGGAGGCTTCTGAGGCTATCGTGAGACCATCTCATCTTGGGCGTCTTAGAGCAATCTTTCGGCGATTCGGGGCCCTCTTCTTGGACCGTCTTGGCGGCCCCGTGGGGCCCTCTTGGCCCGTCTTCGGGTCCTCTTGGGCCCGAAAAGGTCATGCGGGAAGCTGCGGGGGAGCCCAGGGGGCACGAAACGAGCCCCGCCAAACTTGGCAATTTGGGGTTCAGGCCACTTATCGGGACTGAGGACTGAGGCTCCAGGGACTAGGTCAATAACCTGAGAACACGCCCACTGCGTGCCGAGAGTCACGGTGGCGGATTCTTCGTTACTGTCTGCTCCCACTCCAGGCCTCTGCCAGACGGCAGTCGCCCAATACAGAGGGCCTCATCTGGGGGGTCCCATCCTATACAACATCATTTTTGTCCGTCTCGACATGGACATTCTGTCGTCCATGTTTGAAGGTGCGTGGCAAGAACGGGGCGCGGCGCGAAGCGACAGGCCGAAGTGTCGCTCTCGCCCCAGCGGCGCGCTCATTTTTCTAAGACAGAGCGCTTTCTGTGTTCGCCTGTAGGGTCCCTCCTGGATTCGGAACCCA